GGGTCTGACACAAAGCCGGTTGCTGGTGCTGTGTGTGCCCTAAGAGCCTGTCTGGAAAGTGTCAGGACAGATTCCCCACACATGTCCAGTATTTGCTGCAGTCCCTGTGTGCTAACCCAGCTTGGGAGAGCAAGGTTGGGAAGGACACAACTTCTTTGTTACTTTTGTTGCCCACCACACCATCCCTCTCATTACAAAGGGTCAGTCAACCCAGGTCGGCTTCACAGGCATTTGACCAAGGACTGCTGCAGAATCCCTAGGCTGGCCTAGAGAAATTGATGGAGCTCCTCTGATTGTCTTTCTTATATTTTTTATTAGATAAATATATTTTTAATGATTTTGGAGAGGGAGAGAGAGGGAGAGAGAGATAGAAGCACCAATGATGATAGAGAATCATTGATTGGCTGCCTCCTGCTTGCATGTGCCCTGACCGGGAATAGAACCATGACCTCTTGGTTCATAGATTGATGCTCAACTACCGAGCCATTCCAGCCAGGCACTGAGTGCCTCTCTTGCAGCCAGGGGAGTCTGAGTGACACTGGACTCTTCTTTAAGTTCTTAGCACACGTCTTATGCACACGTCTTTGGGAAGAATGTCTGTAGCTATGAAAGGAGATCAGAAATTCTGACTTGCTGGAACCAGCAAATAACTGGGAAATTCTTACATCTTTTTTCATTAAGACACTAAGTGCTACTATCATTAACAAGTACATCTGATATATCAGCAGTTACAGATGGCTTCTGCAGCAGGTGTTAATTGAGAAGAGAGGCTGGGAGTGTAATCCTTTAGCCAGACGCATTCCACAGCCCTCTGACCAGAGAAACTATTGCAGAAGTAATCTGCGGGTTTCATTTTCCTTGTCCAGAGCAGTATCATGTTTGGAAATACAGCCCCCTTGGGTTTTATGGCTCTTTGACACTCACAGTTTGGGTTTATTTTCCTTGTTCTCTGGAACTTGTTGTTTTTCCTCCTTCCACTCCATCAACAGAGACAGTTTTATGAATTCACTGCATCTTGATCAGTCTGGCTGCAGAAGACTCATCCATTTCTAAGTCAGCAAGCAGGGAGCTCTGTGCGCCCCAGCAGGGCCAGCCACTGTCATCATTATAAACACAAGAGGTAGACTGAGGCCTCAGACAATTTGTAAGTGTCACGCAGCAACTCAGGGAGGGGTTATCAAGGTAAGGGAGGTATTTTTATCCCTGGATTTTTAGAGGTAAAAAAGCCTAAGTCCCAAAAAAGATTAGCTATCTTTCCCAGCTGGTGAATCCAGGTTTTCTCACCTCCAGATCTGCATTCTTTGCCACCAGCTCTCAGCACTGATGCAGAGGACACACTCTGCGACCTGCACAGCCCCGCCTCTTGCCCTTCCTGCAGTCCTCTGTCAAACATGACAGACTGCAATGATGGTCCTTTGCAAGCCTCTTTGCTCACCTGCTTGATTCACTTTCACCTGGTTTTTCCCTGCTTACCCTTCAAAGTGGGCTTACAGTTGTGAGTTCATGAAATACAGAGTTTTTTTCCTTGTATTATTATTTATTCATGATTGTATTATTTTCCATATGAACAAGTGTAAGCCTACTTTAGCCCTCCCTGTATAACAGAAACACTATACTTTCTGTTGCCTCCTTGGCTCCCATCTTCACACCCCAGACTAAGAAGCATGAGGCCAGGTGAACTCTCACAGGTGTGGCAAGAGCCCTGCTGGTCGCACTGTGAATGCCTATAGTGCTTTGTAATTCACAAAGCACGTCCACATTGTCTTGTCTCACCCTCACAACTATGCTAAGAATTTGGTATCTTGGATGGAAAAGGTGGGTGGCATGCAGCACAGTACCATTCATCTCACTCTGAGGTTCTTACTACAGAAATGTCAATGTCTTGCTGAATGGAAGTGAGAAGTAGGATATGTTTATTTATCATCTAACAAATGCATACATTTCACATAAGGCAAAGCCAAAACCAGCAAGGAGGAGGACAGAGAGGTCTAATGCATTGAATCCACACTTAGGAAAAACTATACTTCTGATTAAGTATTTGTTGCTTGAGACAAAATTGCATTGTCTATTGCTCTTAAATTTATGCTCATGTGAAATGAAATAACCAAAAGGAAGATGCAGGCATGAGAGGGGAGGAGAGGGAACTCCAAGGCCCTTTCTGGTCTTTCCTGGGACAATAAACAACCATCTCTACTAACTTGGTCCCACTAGTCATTTCCTTCTTGCTTTGTTTGATAGAATTCCTGGCATACACTTGGCTGTTTCTCCAATGATGAAACCAAGTAAGCTTTGCTATGGAAGTATGATAAGTAGTAATGCTGTGGAGGAGGGTGCATGGGAAGTTAGAGCTTCACAAGATGGACAGACCCCAAGGTCATCACTGTGCCTTCCTGGGTGGTCAGCTCCATGCTGCCTCCTGGCTCTGCTTTCTCCTGCCCAAGCATCTGAGCATCTGCCTGCCTTAGACAGACAGTGTCTAAGGCAGACAGCTGGACCCACAAATGAGGGAATCATGGGTTAAGGGTCCCTGACATAAAGCTTTAACACTTCCAGACACATTGCGTTGCTAGGTTTGTGCTAAAATTTCGAAGAGCCCCAGGAATGCATCCTTCAGTAACAGGAACGGGACAAAGTGGTGAGTTTCTGCTCCCAGCCACTTTGGAATTAGCACCACTGTGTCCTGTGCATGGTGGTGGTCGAACAGGATGAGCCTTTGGGGGAGAGCTTGAGGGAGTCTTCTTGTTATGATTGGTTCACATTTGGGGAGCCATCTCATCGGGCTCCTTGGAAGCATTGGGCTTTTCTGTGCCTCGGCTGTAGAATCAGCAGTGTAGTGTCCATGCATCCACAGCTGCACGATCCCAGAACTGTGATCCATTTTATGCTCATATCTGCTTCCTAGCCTATCTTCTTGGAAGGTGCGAATTCATCTCTCACAAGTGCATCATGGTTTCAGCTCATTCTGTAAACATGTTTTCAGCCTCTTGCAGGCACTTGTTCAAGATGCTAAGGATATAATGACAAATTGTTCACGGTCTTTGTTCTCCAGATGAGCCAGCTATGTAAACAGGAGGCTCAGTTTGGAGAGCAGTGACATTGTCTGTAAAAGTGAGATAATAACAGTGTCCACGTCACAGGCTTGTTGTGAAGATTACATTGGTTAGAAATGAAGAGCACAGAACAACACTGGGCACAGGCCTGGTGTAAGCGCTGGCTCTGGTGACATACTGATGTTGTCAGCACTGACATACGAGTGCCCACAGTGGATCCGGTGGGTACATGATGGAAGAAGTGATGTAATGATCATGAAAATTTTTTCAGGAGAGGACATTTTTTATCTGGATCTTGAAGGGAGAGTAGGAATTGACCAAGAAAACAGAAGAAAGTTCCAATTTGAGGGAAAGTGACAAAGGCCCAGGGGTATGGAAATGCCAGAGGTTCAGGAGTGAGAGCAATGCCTGTGGGTTCAGGAGTGAGGGCGATGCCTGTGGGTTCAGGAGTGAGGGCGATGCCTGTAGGTCAGGGTAAGAACAAGGCCTGATCAAAGGGAAGAGGAGTCTTGGGGGGGCTCACTGTGGTTTCTCTGTGATATAGAAGATGTGGCCACTGAGCATGAGGAGCAAGAGAGGATGGCAACAGTCTTAGGAGAATGTGAGGGACAAAGGCAACCTGGTAGGAATGAGCTGGGGATGGAGACTCAATTTGGGGGTGAGCAAATAGGTAAAATCCAGGGGAGAAAAGCAGTAGGAGAGACTGATCAGAAGTAAGATGGGAGAGGCTATTTCCAACTGGAGGAACCTAGCGGACTTCAGGGAGGTAAAGTGTGAACATGAGAAAATGAACTGATCAGCAAGGAGGCCATGGAGCCTTGAGTGATGTGTCAAAGCTGAGCTTTAGTCCTAGGTCACTGGCAGGTTTTAAACTAGAGGAGCGACATAGTCAGATTTGTGCTCTAGAGATGTCATTTTGGCAGGACTGCAGTGGTTAAATTCCCACCCTCAAAGCACTCAGATAGTTGGAGAAAAACCTAGGGCCTCAAAGACCAAGAGTTGAGCCCAGTACCGCTCCCAGTATGAGCACTAGCTGTGAAGTGAACTGTACTTGCCCACCTCTCTCCCCACACTGACCTCCTGGCTGTGCAGCCTACAACCTGAACAACTCAACCATGCCTCCTCTCCTGGGCTCCCCCCCACCCCCCGCTCCACCCCTGTGCTAGATGATGTCCAGGAATGTAGGGTTCAGCAGAAGACTACAAGGTCATCCTAGAGACACCATGAGGGCTGGTTTAACCCTAAGTATCCCCTGATTCAGAGCATCTCTGGGAAGTTTCAGTGCCACTGTCATGGAACAAGGACTTGGGTGGAGGCCAGTTCCATCAGCTCCCCGAGTGCCTGTTGGAGCCTCTCTACAGTTTGAATAGCCCACTGTGGATGCCATGTGAGTGGGTGGGCCAGTCCAGCCCCCGTACTCACAGCACACCCCCAAATGGGGCACCTGAGCTCTCTGTGACAGCAAATCCTCCCAAGTGTGGAGATGAGGGGATAGAGGGTGCATCGTTAAAGTCATCGGTGGAGGGGTATGCTGTTGGTGGACTTGAACCTAGGGCTGACTTCCAATATCTTGCCTGTTAGAAAGTGCCAACTGAAAGGATATGTTTACATCATGATGGCTAAGGTGTAGGCATCATGGGGCATCCTAGAGGAGGTCTCGAAAGTCCATGGGTTTCCATGAGCAGAGGGTGCACAGCTGCTGTTGACCCGCAGCCTGACAGCTGTGTGACAGGCACCACTAATGCCTGAGTACCTGAGGGCCGTTGCAGCCGGTACATGTTAAGCAAAACAGGTGATGATGGGTGTTTGCTGAGAGCTCTCATCCTGCTGTGCCTTCAGTGGGTGCATTTTATCTCAGGGCCCCCAAAGGCCACAGCCTAAGGTAGGTATGTGCAGTGTTCTGGGTTTCTTACCCCAAAACTCATACCAGTCTCTCACCTTCTGCCACAGATCCTGGCGCCCCTGTGAAATTGCCTTGTCTGCCAGTGAAACTGTCACCTCCGCTACCTCCAAAGAAAGTCATGATCTGTATGCCTGTAGGAGGGCCAGACCTCTCGCTGGCATCCTACGCAGCCCAGAAGAGCAGCCAGCAAAGTGGAGCCCAGCACCACCACACGGTCCTGCCATCCCAGATCCAGCACCAGCTGCAGTATGGCAGCCTTGGCCAGCACCACCCCTCTTCCAGCGGCTCCCTCCCCATGCACCCCTCCAGCTGCAGGATGATAGATGAGCTGAATAAGACGCTGGCCATGACCATGCAAAGGCTGGAAAGGTAGTGGGCAAGGGTGTGGTGGGGGGAAGTGGGGGAATGGAGGATGGAGGGTGGACTTGGCTGGTGAGGAGGGAGAAGAAAGGCTGGGTATTTGATCATGACATAGGGCTGTGAAGGCACTGGGGGAAAAAGTTTGAAAGTAAAATAAGACCAAAATCTGAATGTGAAGGTAAGTAGGGAGGGGGGGGGGGTAAGAATCATCTTGGCCAATTGCCAGACTATGTAACAATCACATTTATCAAAAAGAAAAAGTGACATATATGTTAGCACATATTATATTTCTACTAGAGGCTCAATGCACAAAATCGTGCAAGGGACCCAGCCCTTGCAGCTGAGACAGCTTGCTTTGGCCCTTGCAGTCCCGGCTTCGTCAGGAAGGTCGTCCAGAAGGTCATTCGGCTGTTTGGTCTAATTAGCATATTACACTTTTATTATTATAGATAGGCCTTAACATTTCTTGAAAGTATGCATACATAGCCCAACCAGTATGGCTCAGTGGTTGAATGTTGACCTATGAACAAGGAGGTCACAGTTCAATTCCTGGTTAGGGCACATGCCCAGAATGTGGGCTCAATCCCCAGTAGAAGGCTTGCAGGAGGCAACCAATCAATGATTTTCTCTCATTATTGATGTTTCTAGCTATCTCTCCCTCTCCCTTCCTCTTCGAAATCAATTTTAAAAACAATTTTTAAAGAAAGTATACACACATAATCATTAAGAGTACTTACCCCCAGGTCAGGGAATAGGGGAGAAAATTGTTTGTTTTTCTATTTCATATCTTCCTGATTAATTTTTTATTTTATAGATATTACTTGTATGATATTAAAAAATGCCTATTAGAATATAAAGTAAGAAAGTACAAGAGCTGGCAGAATGGTGGTGGGAAACCAGAGGGATGGGAAAAGTAGAGAGTGCCCAGTTCTTGCCAGTGGAGGAGGTGGAGTATTGCAGTCTGCTTAGATGCGTGTGAGCCTCTAATGTTCAGCAACTGGTGCAGTCCCTCTTACACTAGAATCCGCTTCCAAAGGCATTGCTGGGGGACCTGCCAAGAGAAACCCAAGGGCAGGCCTTCAGCAAAGACCCTGATCCTCACCACCTGGGGAGAGCTCTCGTGCTGGTTCTGAATGGCTCTGATGTGCATGTGTATGTGTGCGTGTAAGCGCGAGCAGTGCATGAGTGTGTGTGTGTGTGTGTGTGTGTGTGTGTGTGTGTGTGTGTGTGTATTCAAACACCCCTCTTCTTGTGCCCAGAAGTGCCTAAAATTTCCCACTATGATTCCAAGGCATGTTGCTTGACCTAGTTCCCCGGCCTGACAAGAAGAAAATGGTGATCTGGTGGGAAGGGTGTGTCTGAGCTGGGACCCTTAATGCCCATCCTAGGTTAGTGGCTTCTGGTACATGGGCCCTACGGGAGGAAAATGGCACTGTGAGGTTCCAGCTGATCACCAGGCAGAGAGCCAGAGACAAGAAGGACACTTCGGGAGCTTTCTGGTGCAGTTTCCCAACTGCCTCCTGGCCAAGCGTTCTGTTTTGGGGAAATTGTTGGCTCCAAAGGAAGTCACTGCCACTAGGTGTGCTAACTTAATTGCACTGCATTAATAGCTACCTTCACAGAACAAAAAGTGTATTTGGCCCCATATCATCATTTTCAACTACTGTTATGATAATGAGGACAATAAAAATTTAACATTTGAATAACACTTTTTAATTGATTATACACCTTTTTTATCATCTTAATCCTCACACCGCCTTTCGAGACTAAGTGGAGAAACTAAGGGAGGCTGAGTTCCCCACAGCCAGCTACTCAAAGAGTGACCCACAAACTGCTTGTTGCCCATCTGCAGCCAGATAGGTAGAGCCAGCCTTTGCACACATTTATGACCATTTGACAGGCTAATGTTATGTCTGTCGAATATTATAATAAAAAATAATTTAACTTTTTATATTTATTATATTTTACAAAAACATCCATTTTGTGATGGATTGAAATTAAAGCCAACCAACCAACAAAAATGGCCCACCCCATAGACATATTGGAAAGCACTGCCCTCAGTAGTCCTTCAGGGTCACGCCTTCTAGCCTGGGTCTTCCTGCTGCACATCCAGAACTCTTTCTATTCTAGTGCAACTGCTTTCCCAAAGGCAGCTCATGGCCAGCGTAGTTTCCTGGACCCATGTCTACTATACACCCAGTAAGTTTTATATTTCTCTGAAGCTTTAATCCACTGAAAAAGATACTCAGGACAGTATACCAGGACAATATTGCTAAATACATTTCCACTTAAAGCATGACATTTTCAAAGGTTCTGTTGAAAGTACTACCCAACAAGTTACATAGTGTTCCTTGGTTCAGTAATTTCTGTTTATTCATAGAATATTTCAGTTTCCTGTAGATCAATGGGTAGGTTTGTTGACCTAAACTAAGGTGACCAGATCATCCCACTTTTGGAGGGACAGTCTCGATTTTCAACAATTTTTCGTCCCATGGTCAGCAAACTGCAGCTCATGAGCCACATGCATCTCTTTGGCCCCTTGAGTGTGGCTCTTCCACAAAATACCAGCCTGAGTGAGTCTATTTTGAAAAAGTGGCGTTAGAAGAAGTTTAAGTTTAAAATTTTCGGCTCTCAAAAGAAATTTCAATCGTTGTACTGCTGATATTCGGCTCTGTTGACTAATGAGTTTGCTGACTCCTTGCAAACAAATGAGTTTGCCGACTCCTTGCAAACAAATCAGGGTGGCAGGAGGGAAAGTGTTGTGATATTATGGGAGGTGGGGTGGACAGGAAGGCAGCATGACCTTGGCAGTTGAGCCAAGGCAATCCCCAGGCTCTTTTACCTCCTCTTTCTCCTCCCCTCTCATCCAAGGACAAGACCTAGGGTTGTTCTGATAGACTGGCCAGAACATAGGGTGTGAATGCATATATCACTTTAGCAAGGTAGCCCTTCAGAAAAAGAAAGTCTTTATTCCCAAACAAATAAAGATTGGGAGATCTTTCTGAGCAACCACATCGTCTTCAGGAGTCCTGACAGGACCTGGGAGCAGAACAAAGTCACAGGCCACTTGTCAGTTGAGTGTGGGAACTGCCACTATCTCCAGTAATGTTGCCATTTTTTATTTTCTAAGAGTTCTCCCTGTCAACATGACTTCATTCTTGTTCTTATTAAGTTTAATACAGAAGGGAACAAATATTTTCTCTCTTCTCCTAGCAATTTCCAGTAACCCCAAAAAATACGAGAAGAAGGAAACATTAGCGATCAGTTTGGCATTGTGAGTCCCATTGGACTCTGAGTCCCAGAATGTCATCTGTAGGGTGTTAGCCCAGACCTCTATTCTGACCCTAATGAAACATTATAGTTACCATAGCATGAGAATTTAATAAAAAATTAAACAGCTTTAATTTCTGACTTCGGAAACCATACGTTTGAATCAATAGTCATACTATAATTAAAATAGACCTTGAGGACCAGGCAAGCAGCCCACCATTGCAGTATTCCTGATCATTTGTTTTCTAGTCTCTTAGAGAAGGTGAACCTCCAAGATAGCCCATTCCATTATCAACAAGGTCTTTATTACAAAGTCCTTTTGGCTAAAAGGTTTACTTATTATACCCCTCAGTCTTATTTCTAATCTTCTTTTACTGTGAAAGGCTTTCAAATCCTTAAAGATAACTACCATTTACTTTATCTCTCTTCCCTCTTCTCTACTAATTTATTTTTCTTCTCTCTTCTATACTAATAATCCCAAGTATAGAATGTTTATGTAATCATGCATTGTGATGGTTTGTAGACCCTTTACTATCTTATGTTCTCCCAAGATTTTTAAAAATCTGTTCTAATTTGTATAAAATTTTGAATCATTACCCTAATCTGAACCCTTCTAGATGACACTAAAAGATGACATGTTAGAAAGGTACACCAGTGACTCACCAGATTAGATGGGACAGTGCTGAAGGACAGAACTAGAGACCAGCTGAAGAAAACTTAGAGAGTTCCATGTTTATCCAATGTCACTGGGGTACCGGAGGCAGTGTGGCCATGGTGGAGACAGCCCACCGCCATGGCTGAGTGCATGGGTTCCAGAATCTAACTGCCAGGGTTTCCATCTTAGAGATGCTACTTCTTTTTGCCTTTGATTCCTATTTAAAACAGGAATATTAATAACACCACCAACCTCATTAGAGTTGTTTGTGAAGAACAAATGACTTAATTTAAATCACTCATCTTATTAAAAACTGTAACAGTAAGTGTCCAAAAAATAGTGTCTCCAAAAAAGGTACTCACATTTTAACAGCTGATAGCCTTATTTTGAAAATGACATGTATTTAAATAAATACTGCCTTTATAACTATTTAAAGTGTGTATACTTTTTTTTTTTTGGAGCACCCTATAATTTGGAGCAAAATTATACCACACAAAAGTTGCGTTCAGCCCAGCCAGCATGGCTCAGTGGTTGAGCATCAACTATAACCAGGAGGTAATGGTTCGATTCCCAGTCAGGGCACATAACCAGGTTGCAGGTTTGATGCCAGTAGGGAATGTGCAAGAGGCAGCCGACCAGAGATTCTCTCTCATCATTGATATTTCTAACTCTCTCCCTCTCCCTTCCTCTCTGAAATCAATACAAATCTATTTTTTAAATTGCCTTCAGTGCCCCTAAAAGGCATATTGCAAATCTATCTTATTGTAGATTTTGTTTGTATCAATTTTCTCAAATTAGATTGTTTTCATTTGTTTTCTCTCTAGTAATAATTCATATCTTTTTGAAGGTGACATTTCATCATCTCAAATATTAAGCAATATTTACTTTTAATATCTGCAGTAAGCTCTGTGATCTAGTTGGCATCAATCTAGGAATTTAGGCTTCAAATCCTAATCAGCCACTGATTTCATTCCCATCTTAATTTAGTTGATCAGTTCTACTATATTGAGAATATAATAATTTCAAAATTGGACAGAAAAAATTTAAATCAGTAGTCCCCAAAATTCCTTCAATCTCCACAATT